GAGAGAGAGAGAGAGAGAGAGAGAGAGAGAGAGAGAGAGAGAAAGACTAAGAGAGCCCTGAATATCTAAAACTCTCCTTTTCTCTCTTATTCTTCGGAGAGAAAAAGCGTGAAAGAGTAATTGTAGTCACAAATTATTGAGGAGTGTCGTTGTGGCTTGAATGAAAGAAACGACTGGCAAAATATAGAAACATTTTCCTATTCTCGACTGAATATGAAACTTTATATCTTAAGTGTCTTTACTCTACGCCTCTAAAAAAAGATAAAACGCTCTCAACAAAGGAAAATCAATATAAGGGACTGCCTTACTCCACCCTCAAGCACATGCGAGGCAGCACCTTTGCTTCTTTGCTTTGTGCCCTTTGAAGGTTCATGGAGATATTCTATTGCGAAGGTTCAATTTCGTTTTTCAGACTTGTTAATTTCCCAAAATTCCATTTCTCTATTTCTATCTACTCTATTGCATTCTTTTTTTAACATATCTTCTCTTCAATGTATTTTTTGTTATACTTATTGGATCGTGAACGTTGTTGAGCTTTGTTTTCCGCTGAAGCTAGATCAGCTGCCTTTTATTTCACAACAAACTAGGGAAAGAAAAAAAGAAAGAATAAAAAATAAAAATGCCGAGTAGAGAAGACGACATTGTCTTTCGAATGAAAAAAACTTATCTCCAAATAGAAACAAGTTCATGGCTCTCTTTCTCTATTTCTCTCTCTCTCTTTCTGTTTTTGCATCTTTTCTCTTTCTGAACTCCGATTGCGAAAGTGGAAAGACTTTTATTATTTCTTTCTCGTTCGTACATCCCCTATGCTCTTCGCCCCAAATACGGATATGTTGGACATTTCTAGCTTCAAAAGATATTTTGATGTTTTGATTTTTTGTTCAACAGTGCGCCATGTTCATGTTGTTCCGCGTTATACTTCTGTCTCTTCAATTTTTTGATGATTTCTCATAAGCTTCTTCAGAGATGGCTTGAATAGAATCAGATCCGTTTCAAAATGGCTTTCAATTTTCCCTCAACATCGAATATTCAAAATAGCATACAGAGTTTCATTTCATCACGTTAGTATGCCAAACATGAGTGACTTTTGATCATCATCAATTCAAAATGAAATGAAATCAAGATGCGACAGTTTTCTTATTTTCTTTTACTTGTGTTTTCAGGTATGGATTCCAAATTGAAGTTTAGTACAGAACCAATGAAAGGAGAGAACGGAATGAAAGATTGGACTGAATCCATGAAAGCTGTAGCTAGGCTACCAGGAGGAATTCCTGACTATTTCAGATTAAAAGTGAGAAATGCTTTTCAAGTTTCACAGCACTTTACTGAATGCAGTTGTGGAAAACATTAGCTGATAATCACATCCAATCAGCCGGCATAAATTGGAAAGAAGTTCAGAATTCTGTTTTTAGTGACCGCTTACAAGAGAACGACGAACTAATTCATTCACAAATCATTAAGGTTTTTTTTGTCCAAGCCTGTAGAAACTTTCCATTCTTTCAAGGATTTGCATAGAACTGGTTGGGAAGGTTTCAAAGAGGAAAAAAAGTTGAAACAATTACTACTTGCATTTGCACGGTATTACAGCCAAATTCTATACCATAACCATGATTATATGCTTTCAGATATAACAAAGACATTGGGTACTGCCAAGGTTTTAATATTATTGGAGCTCTTATTCTTCAAGTTGTTGACTACAATGTTCCCGACGCTTTGAAAGTGAAGTCTTCCAGGAGAATTTTTTCTAAAATATTGATTCCTATAGATCCTTCTTTTCTTGATTGAACGTGTCATTCCAAATGGCTATTTCGACCAATCCCTTCGAGCTTTATCAGTGGATATGTCTGTTTTGAAGGATCTGCTCCATAATAGGCTTCCTAAAACCATGCAACATCTGGATAACTTGCAACAGTCCTCAGGTACATTAGCTCATAGTGTTTTCAACCGTTCAGTCTCAATTAAGGCAATGAATATGAACCAGCTTTGACAAACGTATTCTCAATGCACTGGCTTTTAACTCTCTTCGCTACTTGCCTACCTCGTAAAATTGTTTATCGAATATGGGATGCTGTTATGCTTGAAGGGTCGGAAGTTCTGTTGCGAACAGCTTTGGCTATTTGGGCAAAAATAAGCAAGTAAGTTCCAAAAATATTAATTCACAATTAAAAGTTAGGAGAGAAGGGTCGTAAAGGTTTTACTGGTTATTGACCACTGCGCAAAAGAACGAGCGCAACCTCTCAAAGTGTTGTAGCGCAAACAAATAAGAAGGGAAAGAGATATAAGGCTAAAGGTCATTTCTAATAGTTGCTTGATGCACTGTTTGCGAAAAGCTTGGATGTCATACAAGGAAGATTACTCTTAGAAGTTAATTTTTGTTTTAAAGGAAAATACTCATGACAAGTACAGCGGATCAGTTCTATGAGCTGATGGAGAAAATTAGTGTTCAATTGGCGGAGATGAGTGATGCTGACCAAGATAATCTCATTACGGTATTTTTTTACAGAACTATAAGTAATCTAACCTTCCCGATGTTATCTTAAGGTCGTGTATACAATGGCACCTTTTCCTTATCCCGGGTTGAATGAACTCAGAGAGAAATACACGTGGAATATTCAACCATTATCTACAACATTCAGACTGTTTCAAAAAAGTGTTTCGAGCATATTGCACGAAGAGACAGACTGTGACCCTAGTGTCTCCTGTTCTCCTTGTCAAAGTTAGTCAAAAGCAAAGAAGAGTGTTTATGCTGTATTCCAGACTCTTCCCATGATTCCAATGATAATAGGTGTAAAAAAACTGATATTCAACAGCTACAGGCGCAATATCGGAGACTTCTCAACCGTCAACGTCAAGCCTCTGTTATTTTAAAATGTGAGACGATGAGACAGAGCAGTTCAAATAAGCGAAATTTTAAGCTGCGTTTGTGAATGCACAAAACAAATTGGCGAGTAATGGGAGAAACTGTTCTTTCCTCATGAACAACAAGTCCGTTTTCAATCATTTGAAAATATCCAACAGCATGGAATTGACAGAAACTAGGTTTGTTCAAGTGCTGAAAGTTCATAACATTCTTGCTGAAGTAAGCCAGGTTCTCCAACCTTAGCTTCGGGAGCTATAGCTCTTCAAGCAAGTATGATTCAACCCGCCTCTACAGATATAAGATCGTCTAGTAGTCCTAGGATTGGGTAAATCAGTAGCATATTTTTCTTATCTTGATTTCATAGAAACCATAGAAGGGCAATGTCAGAAGATTCCGAATCACCGTCTCTCAAGGTTTTTCATCTATTCTTGTTTGAATAGTGATAAAAATGTTATAGGAAAGAGAACAAGAGGATAGACTGAGGAAGTCGAAAGCTCTGTTAAGAAGCTTCGCAGGACCAGAAGAGTAATTATCAATTATATTTATCTCAGGAGAAAGAATCCATCACTTATATTTCTACATTTTATAAAAACATTAAACTTTCAATTTTGGTTTTAATTGTTCAGAAACAATTTGTATTGTCAGGAATAGTAAACGGATTGCGTATTATTTCGGTTCTATTCTTGACTTATGCGTATTCGCTACAAGTGCAGATACACTACACTTCCTCATAGTAGATAAATTTGATACGCTAGATATGACAGTTAGCTGTTTCTATCTAAAACCTGGATAGCCTATGAAGGATACATTGATGATAACAAACATAATCAAGATACTTTTTCTATTATTTTCATTCTTTCAAGAGCGTACATCTGCTCTGTTGCCAATTATATCATCGCAAGAAGAAAATCGCGAGAATAGACAAGAGAGAACTTCGAGAAACTGTACAAGACCAAAAAACTATTTTTTCAAAGAGACGGGAAGTTCTAATTTTGTTCTTGTTCGGATATATGGACATCTTCATCTTGGAGAATTTTTAATAAAACATTTAGATTTATTCAATTTAACATTAAATTATTTTCATGAGGGTGGTCAAGTATTTGTTTTCCCACCGAATAGAATGTATAGGACAGTTTCTATTTAAATAAATTAAAACACAACAAGGACCCATAAGTTAAGCACGGCTTCTGGTGAACTTTCCCCAAATGTGCAAGACAAATACGGAAGCAATGAATACTAAGCTCATTACAAGAACTGGAACAGGTCCGATCTTGAGTCCGGTGGAGTCTTCAGTGTAGAAACGCCACATGCCTCCTTGGCTACCTGCAGCACGAGCTCTGCCAGCAGATTGAGCAGCTCCTAGAAAAGTTAGTTACAATGTTAGAAGATACACATAAAGAAGTAAGAAGACTGAAAAACAGCACACGTACCAGCAGAGCGTCTCTGCTTGAGTTGAGTTCCAGAGCTTGGACGAGGGCTACGGCCGGTATCAGACATTATTACTAAATGGATATGTTAACTCTTTAATAAAATCAAGTAAAAATAAAAGAAGAGAAGTACTGCTGATGATTAGAGAAAAACACATCTAAACACTACAGGACAGAACCACTGATTTATCTCAGACACGATGGCGAAACAGACAGCATCAAAATGCTAGTGCGTAGATTTGAGGCATACTGTAGCTCCTGGCACTTGTCCAAACCATTTGCAGTTCGACTGTTTAGCATCCAAGTACCAAGAAGAGGCAAACACGATGCGTGTTCGCAAGGGCTGCCTCGCAGTTTGATGTTCAGCCAAGCTCCGCCCATTGTGTGCATTCTTGGTTAACGTTACCTTTGCAAAGAACACTGCATACACTTTGAGATAGTGGCGATTCCGTGTTGGATCCGAGATGGTTCTTGTCGGGATCAGACTTATCGCATATTAATTAAGAGCTTTATGTGGCTGTTTTGTTATGTTTGAATACGATTAGAAGACAATCCAGTATATTTTGTTCCGTTCTCTCTTGTTCCACGCAATGCTCATGTTTCCGTTCTCGTACTCATTAACATCTTCTTCAGGTACATTAATTTATTCAATATGGGTAAATTCACTAAGGAAGAGGAAGTTCTCCTTGCCAGTTATTCTTCTGGTAACACTGCCAAGAGCAACGCTCTGTTCTACATTAATGCTGCCGTTATTTCTGTAGCCCCCATCTATCTCTTTTACGGAGTTCACCAAATGGAGGTCAGTCTTTCGCCTAAATGTAACTTAATCAAGTGTGTGAGTTTCAGATCTCTGATTCATGGATCGTTTGGATTATCTCTGCTGTTGCTTCTGTCTATCTTTTGACTATGGCCTGCAAGAACCAGAAGAGACTTCTGAAGGACTCGTTAGTTTTTTTGTTATCTCTCAACTATCTCAACTGTTTACCTCCAGTATCATGACCAAGAGAAGCGTTGCTGTTGATCGTGAAATCAACCAAAGATATGGAAATGACAAGAAAATGAGCACTAAGGAAAAAGAGGTAACGCACTTTTCGTCTTAATTGTTGTTATGCATCCCGATTCAGGAGCGTGCTTTGTACCGTAAAAACGAAGTTGCCGATTCTGAGGCTACCTATCTCTCAATCTTCTTCACCAACGTTCTCTTCTTAGCTATTCTTTTGTTCTTGGCTTTCTTCCTTCTTGCTAACTTGGCCCCACTCTTCAACTCCTTGTTCTCAATTGTTGGAGCCGCTGGTCTCGTTGCTTTCCTCTCCACAGCTAAGAATTAGAGAGATAGGATTGTTTCGAATGTTATTTATTGATATGGTAATAACGGGACTGTTTGTAGTTTGAAAAATTAATTATTACAGCTTTTACCTATATTTATTAAACTTGTTTTATAAAACTTCTCAGCCTCGTATTGAACTACTAGTCCATTGCTTACTTCTATATATCTAACACTTCCGCTTTTGAACTAAAAAATTTATTAAAATAGATGAGAATCGGTAAGAAAAGCAGAGCAAAATCTCCGAAAACGGAAATCTCAAAAAGCTCCAGCGTTGTAATGTGCAGGAATGGGTTCGTTGATAATTATATGAAGGTTGATAGGCTTATCGATGGGACTTGGATGGTTATTCTTCTTCAGATCAATAGAATACCACTCCTAAGATCATGTGTTGTTGAATTACTTTCCGTTGAATCGCCATCATGCATATGGGTTCGGCTCAGAAATCATATCACTTCCAATCTTGTTATTACTGACATGTATGTCTTCAACGTAAACTTAAAATTATGGGTATTTGAAGGAAGAATCTCAAGAAGGTGCAAGATGATATAAATGAAAATGATTATTATATGGCTCCTATTGAACAAGGTATGTTTGCAAGATGTCGTTTACTCAAGGTTAGCTTTGGTTAGTGGATGTTATGGTAGAGTGTTATGTTTAGAAATCAAATGATTTGAATATGGGGGTTCTAGTGATGTTCATCGATCACGGTGTAAAGAAATGGATAGGAAGGAATGTACGATGTTTTGAATTTACCAGGTCAACAAAACTATGAATTCAGACATTGGCTGTTATGCCAATAGCTGAGTTACCTTATCATCCATGGCAAGCTATATGTATATCAATTCATGGGTTGAGGATGCAAGGAAACCCTGCATTAGAAGGAAATGTTGGTGCTTTCATATTTTGTTCACGATATGCTTCTACAGTTAAGAGCTAAATGGAATTCAGAGCATGCGATAATTTTGAAAGAACTTATGAGTAGTTTTACGCTTTTCAAGACAAGAACAATGTTTAGTACATATTATTGCAATGATTATAGTGAGCCTAATAAGGTATCCGTTTTGCAGTGAATAACTTGACTGTGATTTATAGGTAGAGCTATTTGGCTTGAAAGGTGAAGATGATACAATGGGTGTATCAATTGCTCATCTCTTTTCCTGCCGCCTCGGAAACCTATTTGTAATTCCAATCAATGTATATGATTCTTCCATGATAGAACCGATAGAAAATTGTGATCATGAGGTTAGTGTGAACTGATCTTATCAGCTTGAGTTGGTCCTTAGGATCCTAGTAGTGCATTCATTCCCGAATTCCAAAAAGTCTGGCCTGAAGGTAAACAGGAAAGGCACCAGGAGGGCTCTGCTGACGTATGGGCTGGCTGGTCTGTCGATATAGCTCAGGTTCCGCTGTTGACACCTGATTATCTTTACGCAAATGGGTTTATTACCTTATTAGTATCTTCGATCATGTTTTTCTAAGTTATGCAAGTGAGCGGACCATGGAATTCCTTGTGTCTGTGGAGGGAGAATACACAGAGTCTCCATTCGAGTGGTATGCTCGACCGATGAAACGAACCAACACACATGGCTAGTTACAGATAAGAGTGTCGTTTTACATTGTTATTATTTTTAGAACTGTCCTACGAAGACGAAGAACGTGTACTGACAAAAGAAACTGTTGAGTTGATGTTATATGCCGACGAAAATTTGAAAACAAAAGCCGATGTTCTGGATTCATTTTATTCTCAAAGCTGTAATAGGTTCAGTTTGAACAAAAAAGAAATGTTGGTGTGAATTTCATCCGTTTTCAATCATGCTTTTTTTGTCAGATGTGAATGGCTCAGTACTGGTAAGAAAGTGTACGCGATTCTTGAAACGTTTGAAGATCGTGCACCATATACTGGAGAGTGGCAGAGGGTTCAGGTACTCTTCATTTTTATAGTATTACAGTTAACGTTTTCGAAAAAATATTTCAGGTTATGCACTGTGACGACTCTTGTCAAGTTCGTTATCTTGACTCTGGTGGGCGTGAACTAGTCATTCCTGGACAGCTATATAAAATCCATCCAAGGTTTTTTATTGATTCTTTATGCTCTTTCTTAGTTGTAATTTAGCCATTGCGTTTATCCACCACTCTGTGGACAGTTTTGCCTACATGGATATAGAGATAAAAACCCAGAATATGATCCTTCGAAAAATCAGTGGTCAGATGAAAGTGTCAAAGTATGGAATAGGCTACTGCGGGTGGATATCCCTATTTCTATAATGAGAATAGGTTTATTTTAAACAAAAGTTGATATTTATTTTTGAAACAAAGGTATGCTCAACAAGGAAACCAAGAAAAACCCTATGCGGTTCCAAGAAGACCATGTATTGTTTGCAGCAGGAGTTAATATTGCGGGAACTTCTTTAGAGAAGCAATTTTGTGAGACGAGAGGACCTGGTGGTGCTATCGATGATGCTAGTATCCCTGTTGTTTGGTCTGAATGATATTTACGAGAAATATCAAATTCAATAAACTAAGCTACTTAAAAAAATTACAGAACGGTTGCATTCTTTATATCATCTGGCACCGATTCGATTCGAGCTTCACGAGTGATTGTGCGGTTCAACCGGTTCATATTGTGTAAACGACTCATTCGATAAATTGCCAAGTAAATCTGAAATATTGAACCTCGAAAGTTGTAAGGGAACCTACTTTGCGCTTGAATATTTGTAAAAACGGAGCTTCGCAGTATTGATCCTGTAAAGCAACTGAAACTTTGTTTGAACGTTCAAGCATGCCACATGTATTTTTAACCTAAAACATATTTTAAATCTACCATTCAATTTCGTCAAGTATACTTTATAGGAAATGTGTTCAATTATCTCGTAATTGTTCGCCAATCTATCTGCATTGGTACGAACTATTTCAAATTCGTACATGATGATCATCACAAATACGTTCAAGAGAAGAACAGTACCCAGGAACATGAACAACAAGAAGTATGTCGATCCTTAACGCATGTAACTTTCTTAGTTTAAATTATCTAGTTTACCTAGTGTGGAAAGATCATACACCTTTCCTCCCCCCAACTTGCCAAGTAGAGAAGACACAAGAGTTTGAAGGGATACAATATAAGAGTAATAACTAGTGATAGTATGCTATACATCAAAAAATCTATTAAATTACCCTTCCAGCGAGTTTCCCAGCAAATGCATCATAGCTAGTATGAAGGCATTTAATACGCACAAGAACCCTTGTCCATAATCTGTTATTCCTGTAGTAGCACTCTCTAAAGTATCAGCTAGAACACCTATTCTATGGTTGAATCTGGAAGAGATAAGTGTGACTTCATACTAACATTTAGCTGAACCTCAGAATTTTCATGAGTTTGCAGGACACAAAAAATACAACAGTTGCAAAAGTGTAAGTGAACATCAGATCTGTATCTCTTTGTTTGGACAAATTGATGTAACTGTTTCCGTTTGTATTCAGGAAAGAGTCAACTGCCTACAGTACATCTGTTTGTCTGAAAGCTGGCTTCATCTCACCTCTTTGACATAGACAACTTTCATTATATATGTGATTATTGATATCATTGACACTAAACCAACAAAGAAATCCATGGTTTGCCACAGATCATAGCCTCTGCATTCAAAGAAAACAATTTTTTTTTTCGAAAGTCTCATTGAAATCTACCCAATCATAAGCCACCTAAGGAGTTGAATAGGGCTGAAAATCAGATGTTTTCCTAGTAATTTGAATCTATCATGAATGATGTAAAAGAACTCCAGGGTAAACTTTATGACGCAGTAGCAGATGTACAAGCACTTAATTGGGTATGTAGTTCACTTAAAGTTAACTTTATACCTCAATGGTTCCATTTATCGTATCCTCATCTTCTCTGATTAGGCGCATCGATTCGACCCATACCGTAGGTAAGCAAAACTCTGAAGAGTTTGTGGAACATTCTTTTAGAATTGTGGGGCCTTACTTGCTCTTGGTATTTCCAGAAGCAGTTGAAGCACACCAAAATAGTTAATTTGTGCATTATATAGGGAGAGCTCAACTACAACAGCCCGAGTTTCCTAAACTTCAAAAGCTAACTTTGCAAGAATAGTTTTAAAACCTTATCTATCCATGACTCGTTTCGAAGTTTTTGAAACTTTGTTCGTAAAGCGTCTGCTGTTCCTTGAAGTGATACTACATATCCACCGCCCTTATAAGTTCCAAGTTGTCCCATAATTGAATTGCCTGAACCAAAAAAATAAATTCCAAAGGGAACGATAAATAACTTTGTAATAATTCACTCGAACGGTATGTATACTCAATGTCAGTGCTGTTCGTGTATGGCAACCACGAAGCGTCAAAGTGGCTTGTCATTTCATATCCAGCATTCCAAATATCATTCACGCAAACAGACTGTGAAGATGCTTCAGGCAGAACAAAGTCACACTTGTGCGGAATTGATCTTATTTGCCTTATGATTCCCGTACCCATAGTTCGGGAAGCCTACAATCTGACTGCTTCAGAATAAGAAGCAGATGATGAGAACCTTATCGTTAACGAAGCCTCGCATATCATAAGCAGGTTCTCCATCAGGCCAACTCGCCATGAGTCCTATTATTTTTTTGAGTAGAATTGTAAACACACAAACCATTCACAAGAGAAGAATCAGACCATTTCCAGAAATCATCAATGCTTTTTATGTTTGAGAAAGATGATTCTTTCGTTTCCAAGTTGTAATTGTTTTTTATCTATTCCAAAGTATGTCTAATAAGCTCGACAAGCCTTACTTGATGATGATAGTAATATCCAAACCTATCGCGCAACAGATATGTGAGACTCACAAAGATTATTAAAGAAAATACCAAAAATATAATTTCTCGTACTGTATGAAATAACATTTCATCTCTATAATTTGCTAATCAATTATAAGCACATTTCATCATTTTTCACCTCATGCGATTATCTTTCGAGGCTCGAAGTTTGGATAGATCTGCATAGCTTGAACCTGTGCTTTTATCAACAATCTCTTCTGGACATTCTGGAAAATTTCTAGTTTTGTAATCCAGCTAATTAGAAAGACTTTGGAATTCAGCTAGTGCTTTGATTGGAAGGAATGATAATTCTGATGGTGATATTATCTGATAAGTACGATTCCATTTGATATTTTTGAGACACATGAGGAATGCCTGCATCAGAAGAAAAAGGATTATGATTAGTACACACTATCTTGAAACCTTGAATGGTTCGAAAAGTGCTAGCCAAAGGAACATCATAACTAAAAATCTCCGAGTGAAGATGTTGGCATACTGTTCCGATAAAGAAAAACATTTCTGAAAGTATGACTAATTCCAAGAAAAATTTGAATGGAAGTCTTATTATCCATAATGAATGAGAGATCCATGCAAGGCTTATGTTTCGTGTGTGCGTTCATATCAACCTTGTCATTAACATACTCACCACCGTGTTCAATACTAGAAGTATCATTATCGTCGTTTTCACGATAGTAGTTACTAATGTTTTGAATAACGGTTTCCATTGTCGTTTAGCTTCCACGTAATTGGTGTAGTTCTGCTTATAGTATTTCACTCTTTCGTTCTCATCTCTCGTATATGATTTTCTGGAAAGAGTAATAAGTTTCAGAGTGAATACTAGTGATACTTGGCAATATACGGTAATATCATATTGATAACTGTAAGTAGTAATGCGAGAATCATGCCAACAACGGCCTTAAATGGTTCTATGAGCTCAAAGGAAAATAGCTCACGATTCTCACATCAAAAATTTTATACGAATCTTTAGTTTTGGAATTGTTGAGTAAATGTGTTGTGAAGCATAAGATGGTTGTTATTATTGATGATGAGATCCATAGTGATAGAATGTAAACATCTCTCTCTAGTCTCAACCTTGATATACCAGTACCCCCTGAACTAATGTTAGACATGTGGATGATTCATCGCATACCTAAGAACATGGCAATATAACTTATCTGTTCCAGTATGTTATGGAAGCTTATGCTTTCATTGAACAAATTGATAGAATTGTCTACTTGGCACAGTCTCTCAGTCTAGAACAAACTATCATCCAGCTACCAGCATTGGTACGAAACTTGACCATCCCCATTTGTGCGACCGAACCAACTGTGAACAGGAAACGTGAATTTTTTCGTTGTTTGGAGATCGTAGATCACAACTTTAGTACAAAACCAAGCTTCAGATTGCTCTTCACCGGGTTTTTCGATCCACAGGCGTAAATATTTCAAATTGCCCAAAGGCCTGCGATAGATCGTTCTCTAAGGATTTTCGAAAAGTTTTTTACCAGTGCGTCCTCATCAAGAAGCGTGCACAAGTTCCCCATTTCAATACATGCTGCACATCATCTTCCTCTGTTTCCAACCGCCTTCCCATTTCACTAGCTGCTTCTCCCGTTATGTTGAAGCATATCTAATTTCATTAAACTAGGCGTAGGAAAGCAAATTACCGTTGATTGTGAGGAAGAAAATTGCCTGAAGCCAGTGAAGACGGATATCACATAAATATACTCATCAGCAGGATGATTATCTTTTAAGTGCCTCATTTCTCCCTGGAATTGTGAGTGCATGGTGTTGGAGAAGATTAGATAATACCCTATCTTTATCTAATCTTTCTATAGTACAACAGTTGTAGAAAGTGATGAGAAGAAATATGGTATAAGCCGCTATGAGTATCATCGGTCGAACATTTTTCTAAAATACGTTCATCTTTATTATTGAAGCTTATTCTCTTCAATATGTACCGGTACAATGTCAACAGTGAAGTCGTAAGAATACTTCACAGCAATTTCAGGATTTTTTATTCCGACGGAGAAACTTGTCAAATGTCGTGAATGACAGATCACACGAGTAGTACTAGATGAGTCTACTACCTGAAAACAAGAAGCTTTTCATTAGATGTGAGAAACTTTTACCGAAACGCCTTCCGACTCCATCCGATCAGTTTCGTTCTTATAAGCATAACATCCTTTCGTCAGAACTCTAGCATAGAACTCGGAACTATCTATTATAAGCAAAAACTTTTAATAATATCCCTTTGATGTTTATTGCACCTTTTTTAAATTGAAAAGGCTCACTAATCTCTGGTGGTTTATCCGTCTCATCGTATGTGACTGTTCCATTAGTGATTGAGCTGACCTTAGTACCAATTCCTAGTATGTACATACCAGTCATATTATGAAGTTTCTCAGAGGGAATGAAGAATCTGTTATTATCTAAAACCTCACAATTATTATCTCGTGTGTGATCGAAGCTAACCGATAGAACTGTTATAATTAAAAATGTATTCATGGTCTTCATCTCTAGGGCCAGGTTGTGATTGATATCCTATGAACAGAACTTTTTCCTCACCATTTGCCAAAGTTGGGAATTGAACCTATTGGGCAGGTTATATCTGAATTAGTTTTGATTCAAACCTCTATAGTTAAAGATGTGTTCCAGGCAGATACTATAAATGAGCGAAAATCCAAAATTTGGTTTTCATCTATAGGGTTACTAG